CTTTACCCCCTTTCATTCTACGTAATGCCTCACGTACCTCCACCACACTTACATTCTGCTCTTCTTCACTCCTAAAAGATGGTATACCTCCCTGGCCAGTGCATGAAATTACCACCTCCCTTTCTTCCTCAACATTTAAAAGTTCCTCAAAATATTCTCGCCATCTTCCTAATACCTCCCTCTCCCCATCTACTAACTCCCCTACTCTGTTTTTAACTGACAAATCCATACTTTCCCTAGGCTTTCTTAACTTGTTTAACTCGCTCCAAAATTTTTTCATATATCTTTCCTAAATCCATAAATGCAATGAAAACTTCCCTACCTTTATCTAAATACTGTTCACATATATGATTCATTGTAAATGCTTGATTTACATATGCCTTACCCATTCTAAAGCCTCCTTGTTCTTCTGCAATCCTGCTCTCTGTCTTACCTCAAATTGTTTTAATAACCCTACCATACACTTTACCTGGTATACCCTATAATTTCTGCAATCTCTTTTGTCCCCCTTCCCTTTATATAAAGGAACTATACACACACTGTCAATCCCTAGGTACCTTCCCCTCATTCATACATTTATTAAACAAAAATACCAACCATTCCAACACTATATCTCCCCCTGCTTTTACATTTCTGTCATGATCCTGTCAATTCCAACTGCTTTACCCCCTTTCATTCTACATAATGCCTCACGCATCTCCCCCACACTCACATCCTGCTCTTCTTCACTCCTAGATGATGTTATACCTCCCTGGCCAGTGCATAAAATTACTGCCTCCCTTTCTTCACTGATATTTAACCCTTTCAGGGTCCAAAGGCCAAATTTCAAAGTGCACACCAGTGTCCAAGAATTTTCAAAATATAATTTTGTTATTTTTTCTTATGAAATTGTAGAGAATCTTTTTCTGAAGGTAATGAAACAAAAAGTACGAAATTTGATGAAATAATGCTCTCGCGAATTTTGATGTGACTGATATTTTCGCATTGGCGATCTTGCTGACTTTGACTCCCACTTCAGGCCAATTATATTACTCCAGTCGACCAAATTCTTAGCTATTTCACTAGTATTACTTCTATTCTATCAATTGAGCACAAGAAATTGCCAAGCCATCTGTTTCAACTACAAAATAAAGTGATCGGAAATTGGTAATTTGGCCAATTTAATGCAAAGTTCAAAATATTCTAATTTCAAAATAGGGTCCAGAATAAACAATGCAGGCATTCCTGGAGCTAAACTAACATTTCCTCTGTTCATTAGTTACATTTTCAGGCTTTACAATTGAATTCCATTTTGATTTTTTATTCACATAATGAATTCTTATTCAAACCACAAAATAGAAGATTTACTGTTATGCAATACTGTAATAATTGTATAAATAATATCACCACATTTGTGAACGTATATTAGACCCACCAGCTGGCGTGTATTAGACGTGTGGGATCATTTGTTTATCCTTGAACATCGGCAAAAATTTAACATTTCTGCTATTTTGAGCTCAGTTTCAACCCATTTCCGTTACTAAAAACCAATCAAAATCATCTCTATTTCTGCAATATATCTTCCATTCTATCAAATGAGACCAAGAAATCGCAAATACAACTATAAAAAACATACAAAAAAACACTGCAAAGTCGCTGTTTTAATCGAAAATTACAGTCTCAGTTTTTTCCTCTCATTATGCAGTGTGCTACAGGATTTGTTTTATGTGGTGCACACATACCACATAGATGTATTCTCTCATATCTAGGCCCAAATTTACTGCTCACAGCTTATCAGAGCTGAGCTCATGGCGTAGATCTACGGTTTGGACCCTCAACGTATAGCCGTAGGTCTATGGCATGGACCCTCAAAGGGTTAAAAGTTCCTCAAAATATTCCTGCCATCAACCCAATTCCTCCAGCCTCCCATCTACTAACTCCCCTACACTCTTTTTAACTGACAAATTCATTCGTTCCCTAGGTTTTCTCAACCTGATTATCTCACTCCAAAATTTTTTCTTATTCTCAGCAAAATTTCTTGACATTGCCTCTCCCACTCCATCATCTGCTCTCCTTTTGCACTATCTCACCACTCTCTTCACCTTTCTTTTATTCTCTATATACTCTGAACTTGTTATATCACTTTTGCTTTGTAGAAACCTCTCATAAATTACCTTTTTCTCTTTTATCACACCCTTTACCTCATCATTCCACCAATCACTCCTTTTTCTCCTGCACCCACAATCCTATAGCGACAAATTCCTGCCACACATTCTAACACTGCGATTAAAATTGCAGTGTAAGAATGTGTTACTTGCACTAGCCCACCTTTCTGCCAATAGTTGTTCATATCTCACCCTAGCTTCCTCCTCCCTCAGTTTATAATTCAAGGATTATGTGGAGTAATATATGGGTTGGATATGAAAAGTGGGTTATAATAAGTGTTTATGCACCTAGAGAAGAGAGAAGTGTAGAGGAGAGTGAGTGAGTGAGTTTGGGAAATGCTGAGTGAGTGCATGGGGAGTTTTGAACCAAGTGAGAGAGTACTTGTGGTATGGGATCTCAATAATAAAGTGGGTAAAAATGTTGTGGAGGGAATAGTAGGTAAATCTGGGGTACCAGGGGTAAATGAAAATGGGGAGACTTTAACTGAACTATGTGTAGAAAGAGGTTTTATAATAAGTAATGCATATTTCATGAAAAAGAGGATAAATAAGTATACAAAATATGATATAGCCTGTAAAGAAAGTAGTTTGTTAGATTATGCATTGGTGGATAAAAAGTTGATGGATTAGCTTCAGGATGCGCATGTTTATAGAGGGGCAATAGATATACAGTGGACCCTCAACCAACGGCATTAATCCGTTCCAGAGGGCTTGCCGTTGGTCGAAATTGCCATTGGTCGAGTTAATTTTCCCCATAAGAAATAATGGAAATAGAATTAATCCATTCCTGACACCCCAAAGTCTGATTTTTTTTTTTTACATGAAATATACATTTCCTTATATGGAAAGGAATGGGACATGCAAAATAAACAATAATTAAATGCCACTTACCTTTATTGTGGAGTTGTTGATGAGTGATGTGCCAGCAGCAGGGAAAATTCAGGATTGTCTATTGCTTTGAAGGAGAATCCTCTTCCATAAAGACTTCAGGTACCAAGTCCTTTGGTGGGGTTACCTCCCTTCTTGGTTTTTTAATGCCACTAGGACCAGCTTGAGAATCACTACCACCATCACTACCACCCTCTACCACCATCACAGTCACTATCACCCTCTACCACCATCACAGTCACTATCACCCTCTACCACCATCACAGTCACTACCACCCTCTACCACCATCACAACCAGTACCACCCTCTACCACCATCATAACCAGTACCACCATCACTACCACTCTTTACCACCCTCTACTACCATCACTACCACCCTCTACCACCATCCCTACCACCCTCTTCCACCACCAATTTCATATTTTTCTACAAACTTTTTCTTGAATTTTATTGTGTTTCTCACATCCATTACCAAAGGGCTGGCTCTAGAAGCTCTTGTGGGGCCCCATGGTGGCTTATTTAGTGGTTACAAGCACTAGAAACAGTGGAATAATCCAAAATGTATGAGAGGCACACGTGGAAACGAACTGCAACAGCTTGTAAACAATGGCACACTGACGTCGTTGGTTAAGTTTTTCGCCATTGGTTAAGGCATTTTTTCTACGGCAAAAAGCGCCGCTAGACGAAACTGCCATTGCTTTATGCCGCCGTTAGTTGAGGGTCAACTGTATTGGATCATTAATTATTTATAGCTACAGTTAGAGTAAGAGGTAGATGGGACAAAAGGATAATGGCAACAGCAAGTAAGAGAGAGGTGAAGGCAATGTGTGGTGTGAATATTATGCAGAGAATTTGTAGTTTAGAGACTAGGAGATGCAGAGTTAATAAAAGTACAGTGGACCCCCGCTTAACGATCACCTCCCAATGCGACCAATTATGTAAGTGTATTTATGTAAGTGCATTTGTACGTGCATGTTTCGGGGTCTGAAATGGACTAATCTACTTCACAATATTCCTTATGAGAACAAATTCGGTCAGTACTGGCACCTGAACATACTTCTGGAATGAAAAAATATCGTTAACCGGGGGTCCACTGTATTTCCCAGAAGGTTGAGAAGGGGTTATTGAAATAACTTGGACATTTAGAGAGGTTAGAGTAAAACAGGATGATTTGGCAGATATATAAATCTGTATTGGAGGGAAGGGGGGGTAGGGGTCATTCTCGGAAAAGATGAAGGGAGGAAAGAGGGGGGTAAAGGGGTAAAGGTTTAGTATGTGAGAGACTTGGACATTCAACAGACATGTGAGAGTGTTAGACACGACTGAGCTGAGGCAAGTGGCTTTTATGACTTGATGAGCTGTTGGAGTGTGAGCAAGGTAACATTTATGAAGGAATTCGGGGAAACAAATTAGCCAGACTCGTGTTCTGGAGGTGGGAAAAGCAGTGCCTGCACTCTGAGGGAGGGGTGGGGATATTGCAGTTTGGAGGGACATCTGAGCTGTAATGTCAGATGCCTATGGCAAGACAGTGATGAGTGTTTTTCTTCTTTTCTGGTTTATTCTATCCCAGTGGGAGAGGGCTGATGTTTCAAAAAGAAAAGTCGTCACAGTTACTGTATGTACAGGAAATACTGAACAAATATAACAAATCTTTTTCTTTCAACAAACTGGTTGTATCCCACTGAAGCAAGGTGGCCCAAAAGGAAAAACAAAAGTTTCTCTTTTTAAATTTAGAAATGTATACAGAAGTGGTTACTAGCCCCTTGCTCCCTGCATTTTAGTCACCTCTTACAACACACATGGCTTACGGAGGAAGAATTCTGTTCCACTTCCCCATGGAGAACAATTAAAATATTAATTAAAAAAAAAGGTATACTGTATTGTATACAATATGGATTATGGGTCATAAGAATTCTAAGCTAAGAAAACAAGCAAGAACTTTGAGTAATAATACAACTTGGATCATACCTGATGGTTAGCCCCTTTGACACATCAACTCCAAGATAATGTGTCCGTGGAAGAGTTGTTATGAACTGAAGGTTAAATGGGCTAAAGCAACGAATAATACCCTCAGCACAGCCCACAAAAATGTATTCTTCCCCAGCTACCACACAATTGGCACTTGTTGTCTGAAAATATTCACATATTACTTAATTTATGATGTCCCTAACGAAAATTTACCTTGTATTAAAGTAAAAATGTTATACAGTATACAATGGTACAGTATAAAAATTTAAATTCAACATTTTTTTTTAACTTATGTTACTCAATGATTCACATTTAATCATAAAATATTATTCAATCACTATTTTCATTAACCCTCTAACTGTCCAAACATACATCTACATTTGCGTGTGTAGCACTCCGCCCTTGATTTTCTCCATAAGAAAGAACATAAAAAAAAAACGTAGATCTACGTTCAGAGCGCTACGCAAGCAAACGTAGACCTATGTTTGGACAGTTTAAGGGTTAAATTCTCCCAGTGCTTGTCAAAGGTGGAGAGAATTTAAACAAGATACTTACTCTAAGCTCCACCCATTTATCCAACAACCGTCTGTTGTTAAACTCGCAGAGGAGACCAGATTTAGTAATGGCAAATGTAGAATCTCCCATGTCCCCTCTGCCACAGGCAACATCACAGAAATAATTATTCCTCTGCTCTCCCAGTATAGCAGATCGCCCAGTAAGAGGTACTGGCTCCTTGAACTAGAATAAGAACATGACATTTATTATAACCTGAATTCATTATGCAGTATACCTGTCATGTTTTACTGATAATTCCACAAAAGATTAAAAGAAAAAGAAGAAGTTTTTATATTTGTTACTGATGAATTAATACATAGAGTACATACAGTGAAACCTCCATATTCACAAATGTTACAATCCTAGATTCAATGGCAATGAAAAAATTTTTGCATGAGAATTGTTTAACATCAACTTTGTAGACTCAGACTTTTCTTGATCTATAATCACAAAAAAAGACACAAACATACCATATATAAATATAAAAGCATCACCACATATGTACTATCAAATAAAAATACACTTAGCAGAAGAACAACTAAAAAAAAAAAAAAATCCAAAATTCTGTTGGAGTGTGAACAGGGTAATATTTTGTGAAGGGATTCAGGTAAACTGGTTAGCTGGACTTGAGTCCTGGAAATGGGAAGTACAATGCCTGCACTTTAACCCTTTCAGGGTCCAGAGGCCAAATTTCAAAGTGAGCAACAGTGTCCAAGAATTTTCAAAATATAATTTTGTTATTTTTTCTTATGAAATGGTAGAGAATCTTTTTCTGAAGGTAACAAAACAAAAAGTATGAAATTTGATGGAAAATTGACAAAATTATGCTCTCACGAATTTTGATGTGTCAGTGATATTTACGCATCGGCGATTTTGCCAACTTCGACTCCCCTTTTAGGCCAATTACCTTATTCCAGTCAACCAAATTCTTAGCTATTTCACTAGTATTACTTCTATTCTATTGATTGAGCACAAGAAATTGCCAACTCGACTGTTTCAACTACAAAATAAAGTGATCGGAAATTGGTAATTTGGCCAATTTAGTGCAAAGTTCAAAATATTCCAATTACAAAATATGGTCCAGAATAAGCAATGCAGGCATTCCTAGCACTAAACTAACATTTCCTCTGTTCATTAGTTACGTTTTCAGGCTTTACAAATGAATTCCATTTTGATTTTTAATTCACATAATGAATTTTTATTCAAACCAAGAGATAGAAGATTTACTGTCATGCAATATTGTAATAATTGTATAAATAATATCAGTACATTTGTGAACGTATATTAGACCCATCAGCTGGTGTGTATTATACGTGTGAGGTCATTTGTTTACTCTTGAACATCAGCAAAAATTTAACATTTCCGCTACTTTGAGCTCAGTTTCAAGCCATTTTCAGTACTAAAACCAATCAAAATCAACTCAATTTCTGTAATATATTTTCTATTCTATCAAATGAGGCCAAGAAATTGCAAATGCAACTATAAAAAACATACGAAAAAACACTGCAATTTGCTGTTTTAATCGAAAATTAAGATCTCAGTTTTTTCTCTCATTATGCACTGTGTGCTGCAGGATTTGTTTAATGTGGTGCACACACATACCACATAGATGTATTCTCTCATATCTAGGCCCAAATTTACCACTCACAGCTTATCAGAGTGAGCTGAGCTCATGGCATAGATCTACGGTTTGGACCCTCAACGTAAAGCCGTAGATCTACGGCACAGACCCTGAAAGGGTTAAAGGAGGGGTTTGGGATACTGGCAGTGTGGAGTGACTATCTAAACTGTCATATCTGGATGTCTCTGCAAAGACTGATTATATATGAGTGATGGTGGAACTGTTGACTGATAGTGAAAGTTTCTTCTTTCTTTTTGGGTTTTTCTTTCCTCTGGGTCGCCCTGCCTCGGTGGGAGAAGGCTGACGTGTTAAAAAAAAATACTG